ACTTTTTTATAAACATCATTAAGAACCTTGGTTGTAAGTTGTTTTCGTGCTGGGACATGATAATGCATATTAATTGAACGAACAAACTCTTTAAATTTTTTAGCATCCACAAAAGAAAGAGGTGCACCACCTTCTATAATACCCTCCTAAAACCCGAAAAGTATTTACGTAAGTTTGTTCTCTTTTTTATTATCATGTTATGGATTATCAATACAGGTTTTTGTTTTATAGTCCTGCATATTGGGGAGTAATTGATCTAACCAAAGAAAGTCTACACGGATGCAATGAACTCACGGAGAATGATTTACAGCAATTATCACAGGATTTTGCTGATCATGTGAAGTGGAAATGCGAATTGGCACCAAAAAATTTTCAAGATTATTTTGATAGTAACTGTGAAAACCTCGAAAATAACAATGAAAATAAGGATTTAAAACATTTTGATTTAAATATACAATTTTTGTATGTATTATTTCAATAAATCATATACTTGATTATCTGGTGTTATGTTCTGATTTAGTATTACTGTACAGGAAGAGCAATATGCGCTTTTTTCAAAAAGCGTTAACCGAAGAACAATTGAAAATGACGTCTGCATTTCCATTGTTTCATGGAACGTTAACATCCGATCATATTGAACATTCCTGGTAAGTCATTTTTCTTTTTATTGAAGTATTGATTATTTTAATACTAATAATTCTTCTGTATATAGGGGAGAAATTCAGGTTATTTCAAGTAGTGATGCACGAAACGAAAAATCAAATCCGTATAAAAAATCACGATTAGGAAGGAAAGTAGACATGAAAGTAACATTATTAAAAACATCAAATAAGTTCGAGGTAATCTTTGGGGAGGTCGCAGGTGGGTTAGGTCCATTTGGAGTTCCTACAGCTTGTCGGAGGAAACGATTTCTTGATAAGGTGAAACTTATAGTGATTATGAGAGATAGTATTAATCGCCTGTTAAAAGAGTGTGATTATGTATCCAATGAAGAACGACTAGAAGTCGTAGTCTATGGCTGGCTTCAGTTTGGTAGGTTTAATGAGAATGAATAAAAATTTATAATATCCTTACTAATGGTTTTTATTTTAGGCCTAGAGCTAAATTTTTATGCAATGGATTGGATTGGATCAGGAATATACAGATTCGGATTGATAGATCGATGTAGAATACCTGTTGATATTGATGAGTGTGAAATACTGGAAGATGTGTATTGCATTCTCAAATCGCTCGAAGTAAGTTGATAGATAAATTATTATAAAATGATGACCATCAAAAGTAACACATTTTTCAAATATAGAGCAAATTACTTGATACCGAAAGAGCAGTGAAAAATCTATTTTCGAAAAATACGAAAGGGAAAAGACGGCAAATTTTATTAGAAAACAAAGCGGAATTAAATGCCAATCGCTCTCCCTAATGTACACGGTATACGAAAATATTGGGGTTTCTATTATGCAAGGCTTCATGATATTCTTCGTGTTGTATTCCGTTATTCAATTTTTTTGAAATAAATCATGTGTGTGAAGAATTCTTCATGCCGATTATTCTTCCAAGAATACATCATTTTCTTGTTTCAATAAATCTAATTCAGATTGCAAATTGGATTAGTGTTATGAATCAGAGCAAAAAATGTAGTCGATTAGTTAGTTGAAAATTTTTTAAAAATCGATTACAAATCGATTATTGCTAACTAATTGATTAATCGATTTTCGATTCATATCACTAAATTGGATAATGCTTTTATAAATTCTCGAATTATGCATGACAAATTGTCACGCCGATTACTTTTGCCAAGAAAAATTTTCGATTATACGCGAAATAGTTAATATCAATAACAATACAACGTAATAAATCCCGAAATACACATGCAAAAGTAAATATATTTACATGAAAGCTTGTCACAACATCACGTGACTACATGATCGATTATGCAGGTGTATATGAGGATGGTAATATAACCTATTTTGCCATCATCTAGAGGTTGTAGGAGAGTTTGGGAATTCTGAGTTTTACATCGATGTCTATACTAGAGATGGGCAAAATAATTTTGTACGTAATAATTACTTATGACTTACCGATTACTTAATATTAGTAATTATTACAT